ATTCACCCAAAAGGGGATCGAAGATTCATTAGACAAACTCTTGTATTCTGAAACAGCTTTCTAACAGCTTAATAAAAACCTCTCTTGAGATCTCTACCCTTGGTAGCTTTCCGCAGAACTTTACAAACCCTGAAGAGTTATTTAGATCGGGATTATGAGATTCGACCGCCACAGATAAAAACTGGAAGCTTCTTCAAAGGGGCTTCTAAGTTGATCGTTTTGAAAGTGATCTGCAGTTCTTCTGCCATTAAAGGCGAGCAAACAACACTAATAACTCGTAATGCCGTAAAGGCTGAGCGTTTAAAAACGTTTTCTGTAAAATAGAGGGGCGAGTTCAGAGATATGCCGGTAAGTTGGCAGTACTCTAGAACCGTAGCTGCGAGGTCGAAGATACGCCGGTAAGTTGGCAGTACTTCGAAACCCAAGTCGGCAAAATACTCTTCTAATTGAATGGATTTATCAAATCTGATCAAATGGGTTACGTTGTGAGGAAGACCTTTGAGCAATAATGGGCTTGCAAAGCCCAAATACTGAATATTACAGATCTGGTCCATCTCAAAATTGGTTGGACAAAACGGAAGGTGGTGGAGCGATGGAGGGTCTCGGCCGGTGAAGGATGGAGTAGGAGCATCGATGATAGAGGATTTAAACCTCTGAAACCTCACGGGATGAAGAATCTGAACTTCTCTGGATGGCCACAAATTTTTGGAGCTAGGGCCAGCAAACTCTGGTATCGCTAGAGCTGATGATGGGGAAAAGTGAGAGCTTTTGGTAGACATGAATTCAGGAACATCGAAACTTCTCACGGTATAAAAGTGTATATGGAGATGTTGATAAAGCATAATTGTAAAAGATAAGTAAGTACCGACAGCCTCTCTGATTGTGTATTATATCTTACAATATAGTTTGAATGTTGATTTTCTTTGACAAACAAATATTTATCAAACTGGAGGGAAAACAAAGGCCCACAAATTACATTCTTTCTCGTCAATAATTGAGTTAAGCTAAGATGTAAAATATAAGTGTTTATTTTAGGGGTATAAAAAGTGACAAAAATAGCAATTATTAAAAGTAAAGCAAGTAAATCATAACAGAAAATGAGTGTATCATGTTGACAAAAAAAAAAAAAGTGTTGTGTATCAGAGAATTCACAGTGTATCATGGTTCGATGAAATCAAATGAATTAAACAAGATAAATTTCGATAAATATGTTCTAGATAAATTGATCTATGATGGATGGTCCCAAACAGAACAAGAAAATTAAAACACAAAACGCTTGCATGCATAAAACTTCTCTGCTAAAATATGACAACTACAAGGAAACAAAGAGGTGGAATCATGGATTCCTACAAAACAAAAAGTGGGAAAAGTGCTCCTACATCTACATAAATTCAAAGTCTTTGGTTATAACAACTTAGAAATTAATTCACTAGTTAATAACAAATTAAAATTAAATCACAAAAAGATAATGAACTAAGATTTAGTCAAATCTCTTTGACTTAATTCTCATCAATCTAGTTCCGCAACACCAATTATTATGTATAAACAACTTAAATCACACAACTCCTGAAGGTAATCAATTAATTAAACATGCATAAACATCCAAGTCCCCATTCTGATTAACGATAAGGAATCTTTTGCAGTATTAACAAACGTATTTGAACGATCTGGAATGAAGATTCCTTCTGTTTTATTCATTAACCTTAACTCGAGAATTTTTTAGCAATTTACGTAGTTCATAACTACAGTAAAGGTGTTGAATACATTTTTAGAGTTTCACGTTGTTGTCCTTTAATATGTAATTATTATATATTTTATGAAGCGCAACGACAAGTACCAACGAGCAATCAAGACTCACGAGAACATCTTAAATAAACTACTAAACTTGAAATGAAGCAGAAGAGAATCGAGAAGAGTATATAACGCTCGAGGCACATCGTTCGTAGTGGGAAGAAGTTGGATTCCACAAAATAGCCATGATTTAAGAAATTATCCATGAGCTCGACGTGGTGAGTTTTGAACCGCGAGTTATATGATTTGTCAGTGCTTAGTCATGGTTGATCATCCAACTAAGAAGAATTGAACCTGACATCTCCTATAGAGTCATTTCACACACTTATGAAATTTTACTTTCTATATGAATTAGGATCATGATTAATGGCTATTCCGGTTCGAAAAAAAAAAATAAGAAAATTTTTCGAATCTCTCAGGGAAAGCTATCGCTTAGTCGGGGAGTGCCGTGCCTAAAATTCTAGGGCCGCAAATTTAAAAGTAATCTCTTATTACATATGATTTTTTAACCATAATTATAATTTAATTTTAGATGATTGTTAGAGTGTCAATAAAAAGTTAATGAGATAAAAAAAAAAAGCTCTTATTTTAGCATCAAAATGGTTTTGAATATGGGATGAGAGTCTCAAAATTTGTTCTTACCATATTTTTATCATTATACTACAATTAATCTTTAGAATATGGACCCTAAATTACACAAAATCATCCGGACCCCAAGGCGAATGCCTCTTTAACATCAAAGGAGGCACAGCCTTGAGTCGAGGTAGTAGCGGGGACAAATGATGGGTATGGAGAAAGGTGTATACTCGCAGGTTGAACACCAATAAGTAGTTGTTTTCAGATTTAAGTCACAATTATTGTAAAACGTTTTTTTTGTTTGAATGCCAATTTTACATTCTCTAAAAAAAACACCATAAGTAATTGTAGTTTTGTTGATTGGTCTCGAATTCGTCCGTGGAGCTTAGTTTTTCAGCTTCCCTCATGACATGATTGCGCAATGAAGGTTGTCCAAACTAGGATAAGTCCAAGATCAGCATTGGATGTCTATTAGATAGCGGAGGATGACATGAAAGTATGATTTCACCCATCACAGTCTGGCTAGAAAAATCCAAATTACTTATGGCTTTTAACATGATGTTTGGGCGTTCGTGAGTTTATCCACTAGCTCAAAAGCATGATGTCTGATCCTCCCTTGCTGATCAAATCGAGCAAATGAAGGATTGACGTAGCTCGTCATGTTTACATGCTCGGAAGAGCATGGTATATAGCATATTTCTAACCTCATTCACAAATCCAGATTTTTGTTTGATTCCGATATATTTGCCATCTCAAGATTGTAGTAAATTTGACTTATTGTTTAATGAGTAAAAAAAAAAATAGCTTCCATCATACATCGCCAAATTGTGAATGGCTAAACCCATAATCAATAAGTATGAGTTGGAATGATAAAATAAGAAATAAAAAGGGAGACGTTAAATTTCGTTATTATAACTAAAGTTATAATGATTTTTTGATTAATGACAAAACAAATATGAGATTGCAGAAATTTCTTAGGAAAATTGATTAAGTGTTTAGCTAGTAATCATTTAAGCTTGAGTATTTAACAATTAATCAAGTAAAGCTCCAGTGCTTAGCTAGTAATCAGGTAAAGTTCTATTGTGTAAAGATAAGTGCTTATTTAGTTCCTCCCTCTTCAGCTTTTATAAGCGTTCTTATAGTATCTTCTCCGAAAACTCTGCTCCACGTGATCCACCTTCTTTGGAGCTCGTCATTCGTGATCTTGAATTTTATGATAAGGCTAACGACTCCATCTTTTTCGAAGATCGTGCATTCGTGAGAAATAGCCATTTATGATCGTATTATCCTGAACTTCTGAGTAGAGCTGTCTATGGCGAGATATTCCTCTTCAGTTGGAATCATTGCTATTCTTATTGGCTTCGAGCTTGACGATTCATATTTCTTCGACAAACCTGTTAAAAGAAATGGAGTTTTACATATGTTAATTTGCGAAGATAGGTGTGGTGAAAACCGACGCCA